CTAAAGTTTATGAAAAGACAGATGGCAGCCTGCTCCACTTTGTTTTTGTTTCTATTTTTGAGACAGGGTCTCATTAAGTTGTCTAGGCTGGCCCTGAAATAATGGTCCTTCCGCCTCAGCCTCTTGAGTGGCTGGGATTCCAGGCCCAAATCACCAGTCCCCGATTCTTACATAGGATTTGCACATGTCAAGTTTAGGTATCACACTTTACCAACAGTGTTCAGAAGATTAAGGAGCCATCAAGATGCAGACAAGCATTTATGTGTATAATAGTGTTGTTTTGTAAAGGGGCCTAGGTATATTCTAACAACAATCTAGGGAGGTTTGGGAAAGCCTCCAATTCCACCCTGCCCCCATATTAGGTAACTGTTTACATCGCATCCCATAAGTCTTGCAAGTCCAAATTAACCTAGTAATAATGATTATGCTATGCAAGGAGGCGTGTAGATTTAATTGCAAGAGGCAGAAAGCTTCAATACTCTAACGTTCTGCATCCCCTGAACTGATTTCATAACAAAATCAGCTTGTACGAGGAAAAGCACCCTTCATAACTGCTGATCACTAGCAAAAGCTAGCCAGGCACAAAAGCCATACTCAGTTTGTTGTTGTTGAGGGAGAGGCTCTTCAGCAGACTGAACTTTCCTATTAGCAGGGGCGGAAGGCTGTCGATCTTGTTGTTGGACAAATCGATGGTCCTAAGGTTGCTTGTCAGCTTCTGCAACTCTGAGGGGAACTGGAGAAAGGGAGTTCACAGCGTGGAAAATCCCGCACCAATAAACTTCGACACCCCGCGCCATCCCTCTCCCTTTTAGTTTCTGGGTCGGTCCCCTCTCCTCTCACCTCGGTCAGACCACGGTCTTTAAGCTGAAAGACACCAGTTTTCTGCGCTGTTTCCACATGAGCGCGGAGGGCACTGTTTCCCATCCTAGCGCCGCGGCTCAGTTCCCTGCGGGAAAGAAGCGTAGCTGTCACCGCCCCAGTCTAGACATAACAGCCCCCGGGTAAACCTCCCGTTTGGGTCTCCTGTCCCAGTTGTCACCTTCTGCCTAGCCCTACTTCCTAGGGGGCAGCCAAAGAGGGCGGCAAGGAGAAAGCAGGCTAGAAGACAGCGCTACCACAAGGTCCCGCTGCTCTGGCAGCCGAGCTAAAGGCCAGGGAGCCTCCGGGAGCCACTGCGGGATCAGGGAGCTCGAGACTCGCCTCCTACGGCTAGGTGCAGAGCAGGCTCCGCCAGGGAACACCCGGGACCCGCGCTCGCCTGAGACGCGCTCCCAGGGCTTCCGCCCGGGCGGGAACGCCCTGTGACATCATCAAGCCGCGCGACCGTTCGTTGGGTGCCTCTCACGCCTCGCGCCGGCTCCGGGGGCGTGTGGGAGCCATGGCTGCCGCGAACCCGTGGGACCCGGCGTCCGCGCCGAGTGCAGCTGGGCTACTGCTGAACCACTGGGTGGCTTCGGGGATAGTCACCGAGGTACGCGGGGGGCTGCGCGGCGTCATCAAGGGGGCGACAGAATTCCGCTGTGAGGTGTCGTTCGTGGCTCCGCCGTGCGGGAGGCGGTGGAGGGCTGTGTTGAGTAGCGGGTAGCGCCCCTTGGAGGTCGCGGCCGCGACCATTCTCCCGCGGGTTCTTTTAAAGGGTGAGGGACGGAGTAGGTGGCGTTCCCAGGACGCTGTGTTTTGAGTGCCTGCAGGTTATCCCGGGCTGGTTGTCGGAGATGGAACAGCGCTCTGCATTTTTTTTTTCCTTCCTCTGAGCTACTTCCACTAGACCAGCGATTCTCAACCTTCCCAAGGCTGCGGTGACCCTTTAATACACTTTATGTTGTGATGACCCCAACCATAAAGTTATTTTCGTTGCTACTTTGTAATCTTGCTACTTCAATGAATCATAACATAAACATCTATGTGTTCCGATGGTCGTAGGCTACCCCGGCGAAGATCGGTCGTTCGACCTCTATAGAAGTGGTTGAGAGCCACAGGTTGAGAACCGCTGCTCTATACTGTAGAGCGGGAGACAGTAAGAAAGAGATACTGGCCGGTATTTAAAACAAGCTTTTCCAGTAACGCCTATTTATGGGAATTACTGAACCATTTTTGGGGTAAGAGGCCCTGAATACAGAAAAACTCCAGTGGGGACTTTGTGGGAGCATCTTATAAAAGTGTGTGTGTGTGTGTGTGTGTGTGTGTGAGAGAGAGAGAGAGAGAGAGAGAGAGAGAGAATGAGAATGAGGGAAGCATTTGAAGGAATAATAGAAAATGACAGAAAGGAATTGGGAAAGACCAAGGACATTAAGATTGAAGGGAAGGAAACTGATACAAAAAAGAAGTTGAAGCCGATGTCTTGGCACTCTGTGGAGGCAGAGGCAGGCAGATCTTTGAGTTTGAGGCCAGCCTGGTCTACAAAATGAGTTCCAGGACAGACAGAGAAACCTGTCTCAAAAAAACAAAAACAGAAACCAAAAGAGAAGTTATGAAAGTTGGTAAATCATCTGTAGAAATTATTAATGCAGACTTGATGGGAGATTTTTTTTTAAATTCATGTAAGAGTCCTTAGCGACTTCTGAAATACTAAAGTGTTGAAGAAATAGAAACAGCCAGATGTGTGGATACAAGACTTGTAATCTAAGCACTTGGGAGATGTGGAAGCAGGAAGATTGCTCAGAGTTAAAGGCTAGTCTAGGGTACAGAGTGAGGAGACTTTGTCTCAAACAAAAAAGAGACATCGAAAAAGACCAAGAAAGTCCTCCAATATCACCGAGCAAGTTGGCAGAATTAGATCCCAGAACCCTCTCCTTTTTGACGTATTATCTTTTGAAGAGCAACAGCAGGCCCACGATCAAGGCGTCCACTGGTGTGACCATGTTCCCCCAATTCTGGAGCAGCTGGCCTGATAGAACAATGGAATGGCCTTTTGAAGACACAGTTACAGCTCCAGTCAGGAGACAGCAACCTGGAGGCTGGGGCAGGGTTCTCCAGGGGGCAGTCCATACTTTGAATCAGCATCCAGTATAGGATACAGTTTCTCTCATAGCGGTGGGTGGAAAGGAATTGATTACACTCACTATCACCCCCAGTGACCCACTAGGGAATTTTTTGCTTCCTATTCCTGTGACCTTAAGTTCTGCTGGTTACAGAGCTGGGGAGTGCCTGCCAGGAAACACAACAAACATTCCATTGATCACTTTAGGCTTCCAGTGCCCTTAGGCCAACATGCTAAGAAAGGAGTAACAGTGTATCACAAATCCTAATTGGTCTTACTGATGAAAACCCGGAGTCTGATATCAGGGTGAAAGCTGAAAGATCAGAGAAGCAGAGCAGCCAGCCACTAGAGTTCTTACCTCTACCAAATCCTCAACCAAAAGAGAGTGAGCTCCTGTCTCCTCCCGCCTTATATTCCTTTCTCCACCCAGCCATATCACTTCCTGTCTCAACCTCCCTAGTGCTGGGATTAAAGGCATGTGTGCCACCACTGCCTGGCTCTGTTTCTCTTTTAGACTGGATCAATCTTGTGTAGCCCAGGTTGGCCTTGAACTCACAGAGATCTGTCTGCCTCAGCCTCTGGAATGCTGGGATTAAAGGTGTGTGCCACCACTGCCTGGCCTCTGTGGCTAAAGATTATACCTAATATAAGAAAAATTATATATAATAAGTACAATAACTATATATAATATATAGGCACTAATTACATCAATAATGTCTAGTCCATTAACACTTGACAGATTCAGAGAAAATACTTTATAATTTATCTTATTTTGGTGAGTCCAAAGTGTTGTACCTAATTCACTTTCTATCCTAACTTGTATTACCAACTGAAAACTATCTTTTGATGTCTCTCAAACTTATACACTTTACACCTCTTTAGTGAGTTTTCTGAATTTGTTACAAGGAAAACTATAACTATCTACTCTTCAACTCCAGAGACCTGAGCAGGAAATAACATTACCTCAGTAAACAGGAAGTGCAAGCAGTCAACTTCCAAAAATTATGAGAAATGACAGAAACAGCTGGCCACCTGGACAAGTCCTCCAAAGTTCCTTTGCAATGTTGAGGCATCCATCTTCATCCTACAGGCCTAGAATATTCAACAGACTTTTTTTATGAAGCAGGAGTTTTGAAGGACTGTCCCACCTTGTCTTTGCAAGGCTTGGAGTCACTCTCTGTTGTTTCCTGCTTGTCCAGTTTGGACAGCAACTGTCAGCATTTGAGGCAAGAGGACTTTCTTACCAGTGGCTGACTTTTGCCACAAAGAAAGTAAACTCCATATGGAGTTTCTTTGATGCCCATCATCTTCTCTGAAGTAGATTGGTGCTGCCAGGAGCA